AATTGTACAATTATAACATACAACTCTTTTTTTTTCTTTTTTCAGAGATTTTTTGCTATAGGGTGCATGCGCTCGCCAGACAGACAGAGAAAGACAGACAGAAAGCAAGAAATCACCCCCCAGGGGGGATGGTCACGCCGTAATCCCTTCTCCTCCATGCTCCTCTCGGGATCCTGGGCACACACGCACACGCGCCTGGCGTGAGTTTTAAGCCACCGGGTCCGGGACGGGAACCGTGGTCGACTACGTGGGAGTCCAACGACATAGCCATTATGCTAACTGCTGGTTCCAATAACATACAACTCTTGAAAACATGTGAATGAAACAAAAATTGTAAGAAAATGTTTTCAGGGAACATAAGTAGAGGGTCTCGCGTTTCAGCCACCCTGGTACATGTGGCTCTTGCCCTGTGTTCCCTGCAGGAAACCCTGGCTCCAAGGAGACTATGTCCAGAGTTGACAAGATGACCACCAGACACTGGGCAATAGCAATGATCGTTTTACTGCAGACTGGAGTTGGAGTTCTGGGGAATTTCTCTCTTCTTTGCCACTATCTCTACCTTTACTGCACGAAATGCAGGTTTAGGCCCACAGATCGGATCCTCCAGCACCTGACTGTAGCCAACTGCTTCATCATTCTCTCCAAAGGAGTCCAGGAAACGCTGGCAGCTTTTGGACTGACACATTTCCTGGGTGATCTTGGGTGCAAACTTGTTTTCTGTCTTCACAGAGCGGGCAGGTCCTGAGTGTCTTCCAGTTGATCATCAGTCCCAGGATCTCCAGGTGGGTGGAACTAAAAATGAAAGCTCCCAGGTTCCCGGGCACCTCCAGCATTCTCTGCTGGGTCCTGAACCTGGGGCTAAATATTACAGTTTTCATGAATATGACTGGCAGGAGGAGCAACCAAAATAGCTCAAAGGAAATGGATTTGGGGTACTGTTACACTGTCTTTCAAGACAAAATTATGCAAGCGCTGTACGTACCGTTGTTAACATCCCGGGACGCCGTGTGCGTGGGGCTCCTGCTCTGGGCCAGCGGCTCCACGGTTCTCACCCTGCACAGGCACAAGCAGCGGGTCCAACACATCCGTAGGAGCGACGTCTGCCCCAGATCCTGCCCCGAGTCCCGAGCTACCCGCAGCACCCTCGTCCTGCTGATCATCTTCGTGTCTCTGAGCACTGTCTCCCTCATCTCTCACGTTTATTCTGCCCTTTCCAAAAGTCACATTTTGTGGCTGGTGAACGTCTCTACACTCGTCACGGGGTGTATCTCAGCCGCCAGCCCCTACATTCTCCTGAGTCTGGACTCCAGAGCACACTGGCTCTGCTGTGCTTGGCTAAGGACGGCAAAATCACCTCCTCTCATAGGGAGTATGTAATTCGTGTGCGCATTTGTGTGATTTTTTTATTTATTAATATCCCTTATTATTTAAGCATATTACAAAATAGTCACCTTATATACGGGTGTGAGAAACAAGACACAGTGAACTCATGTGCCTAAGTAACCAGTATATGAAATAGCAGTTGTGTATGACAGATGATCTAATTACCACAGTACCTTCACCATTGGAACTTGTTCAGCTGTGCAGGAGTCCAGAGCCCTTTTTTTAAAAACAAAACAAAACAAAACAAAACAACAACTTATTTTATTTAACCTTATTTATTTTTAAATTTGACCAGAGAAGGACAGAATGAGAGAAAGAGAGCGAGAAGATGTGCTGCCAGGTCTGGGACTCAAACTGCTGTCAGCCACGTGGGAGTTCAGTGCCCTTAACCGCCACGCCACCTGCCAGTCCTGAGTTCAGAGCCTTCTAAAGCAATATTTCTTGAGCAGACTGGAGACTGTGGACAACTGAGTGGAGACTGAGTGCTGTCTGTCAGAGTGACATAACACATTTCCCCATGACTAGCTTGTTACTCTGTTCTAGTAAATTTTCACTCCCATTAACAGCAATAGCCCTGGAGATTGTAATTCAATAATCTGAAGAACAAAAGTTTTCCCTCAAAATAATGGCTAGTAGACATTTTTTTTCTACAGGGTGTGTGCTCAGCTGAGGGAGAGACAGTCTCCTCACTCTCCTGTCAGGACTTTGGGCAGGCACACATGCACATGTGCCCTGCCTGTTTTCTGTTTCTTTTTGAGAGATTTTCGCTCTAGGATGTGTGTGCTCACCAGAGAGACAGAGAAGACAGAGACAAAAAGCAAAAAGTCACCCCCCAGGAATATGGTCATGAAGAAATCCCTTCTCCTCTGGTCTCCTCTCAGGATTCTGGGGACACACGCACATGTACCCTGCTTGAGTTTCAAACTGCCAGGTCCGGGACTTGAACCACAGGGGGCCATGTGGGAGTCTAGTGCCTTTACCACTACACTACCAGCTGGCCCCTATTTTTACTGAATTTTTACTGATTTATTTTTTTCCATAATTATTTATGATTATTTTTTAATTAACCAGAGAGAGCGACAACGTGAGAACGTAAGCTGCCTGGTCCAGGTTTTGAACTGTAGTCGCCCATGCGGGAATCCAGCACCTCAACCACCTGCTGACCCTTTACTGATTTCTTAAGGACATCAAGTGAGTGCTGACTACTTGAAGATGAGTAATGTGCGTGGTGTGCAGAATAGAACTGCATGGATTTGAGACCTGTTGATGGTCACTTTTTCTCCATCAAGTGAAGACGTCAGTTGGGTACGTTGGCACAAAATGCACTCTCATGCCTCTCAGGTGAGAAGATACTTTTTTTTTTTTTTGCTTGTGGATATATACATATATATATTTTTTTTTTTTTGCGGGGGGGGGAGAATTTTGCTATAGGGCATGTGCACTCACCAGACAGACAGAGAGAGACAGAGAGACAGAAAGCGAGAAATCACCCCCAGGGGGGGATGGCCATGCAGCAATCCCTTCTCCTCCATTCTCCTCTCGGGATCTTGGACATGCACACACACGCGCCCGGCATGAGTTTAAGCCACAGGGTTCGGGACTCGAACCGCAGTCACTACATGGGAGTCCAGAGACATAGCCATTATACCAACTGCTGGTTCCAGGAAAATACGTTTCTGATGAAATCTCTTATGTAAATGGAATCAGTGGCAGGACAGCCGTGTGGAGGTAAGTCAGGAATTCACTTTACATATGTGGAGTTTTGGGCCTGTGGATTTTCCACAAAAGGGAAATGGATAGTTCCTCCATTTTAGGAAGGATTTTAATGTGGTTTTCTTTAAAATTATATCCTGAAGCTGATTCAAAATAGTAAGGACCAAACAACTGAAAAACAAAAGTATTAGTTATACTCCATGACTATTATTGAACTAATTTTTGCAAAAAATAAACATATTTTTAGCTCGCATGAAACACGTAGAAATATTAAGCACATATTAGATCATGAAGGAAGATAGAGATAAATACATGTTATAATATATAAACTGTGCCTATACACATGTCAATAAATGTGAATGTACACATCCGTATACATTTATATAAAATCAGTAAAATTTTGTTTGTTTTCCACTAATCAATATTACAAACTTAGACATTTTTGCTCTAGGGTATGTATGCTTGCTGGAGAGACAGAGACAGCTATGAAGTGGACACCCCATGGGGGTGGATACACCGCAATCCCTTCTCTTCCATTTTCCTCTCAGGATTTTGGACGTGCCCGCACACACGCCTGGTATGAGTTTCAAGCTGCCGGGTCCAGGACTTGAACTGCAGTTGGCCATGTGGGAGTCCAGGGACGTAATCCTTATGCTATCCACTGAGCACTTATTATAATAAACATTATAATAACGGAGCTGTTTTAACCTTGAAGTTTATTTTATGTGATGTGTATATTGCCATGCTCATTGTTTTAATTAGTTAAAATTACATGAAAATATCATTTATTTTGCCAGAGTGTACACTCACTGTTGGTGGGGAGAGGAAGAAAGCACCCTCCCCTGGGCTTGGTCATGCCACAGCACCTTCTCCATTTCTCTATCCTGTTGGGATTTTGTGTATGCGTGGACACGCATGTCCAGTGTGTTTTCTCAAGTTCCAGGGTCTAAGATTTAAATTTCAGTGGCCTCTTAGGATCCAGCTCCCTTAAACATAATCCCCACAAAAGACTTAAGAAGACTGTTTTATCACCTGGTTTTATTTTTTAAAATTTATTTTAAAATCTTTTAAAATAATTCTTTATTTTACTTTTTTTTTTTTTTTTGGAGAGGTTTTTGCTATAGGGCGCATGCGCTCGCCAGACAGACAGAGAGAGACACAGAGACAGAAAGCGAGAAATCACCCCCCGGGGGGATGGTCATGCCGCAATCCCTTCTCCTCCATTCTCCTCTCAGGATCTTGGGCACGCACGCACACACGCCCGGCGTGAGTTTTAAGCCACCGGGTCCGGGACATGAACCGCGGTCGACTATGTGGGATTCCAGTGACATAGCCATTACATTAACTGCTGGTTCCTATTTTACTTCTTATTTCTTATTATTTTTTAATCTGACCAGCAAGAGAAAGAGACAGAGAGAAGGAAACAAGCCACCAGGTCTGGTACTCAAACTGCGGTCAGCCATGTGGGAGTCCAACACCTTAATCACCTGCCAGCCCCATAAGCCCTGTTTTTCCTTTTTTAAAAGAATTGTTTTTATGTAATTGTATTAATTATCATTATTTTATGTTTTTGAATTTGACCAGAGAGAGACAGAGAGAGAGAGAAGGAAAGTGAGAAAGCAAGCCACCACGTCCAGGACTTGAACCCCAGTCAGCGAGGTGGGAGTCCAGCTGCCCTAACCATCACACCACCTGCCTGTCCCAGCCCTGTTTTAAGTACAATTTAAATTTACAAAGTGTAAGGAGGCAGCCTCTGTGCACTGACCCCGATGTTATCCGGGATTCCGCCATCCGCACCACCACAGCCGTGAAGTGGTCTTTCCAGACACGGCTCTTCCCTGCCTGGTCCCTTTCCTCAGTTTTCCTGTCACTTCTGAGTCTCGTGAGGCTTGACAAGGGGGGTCTCACTCAAAGTCACTGTACTCAGAGGAGGAAGAGACCAGAAGGTCCTCATAGAGGACATGCCCTGGGACGCACGTACCCTGTCCCTCGTACATTTTTATGACATCTGGGCTCTGATCGCCAAGTGCAGACTTCATGGGAGGGTTTGGGGTGTTGGCTCTTCTGGTCCCGGCACTCTGCCATCCCTCATCCCAATTCTTGAGGGCAATTGTGTCCAACTTGCCTGGGATGAGACCGGATGGTGGAGGATGGGGGAGACTGAAGGCCTGGACTGGACTCAGGTAAGGAGGCTTGGGTGTGGGCTGGAGGGTAGCTGTGGCCTTCAGAGCTGGGGTCTTTGTGGTGACCGTGGGTGCCTGTCTGGGTCCAAGTCCACTTGTACTGGGGAGAGGCTTGCAAGCTTGGACAGCCCCCCGGTCAAGTGACTGAGCATACAGCAGGGGGGTCAGGAAGCAGCTGAATCTTGCTTTCTTTGGGGTAGTCCAGCAAGTCTGGATGGGGCCCTGGGCAGGCTTCTGGCCTGGTGCCTGGACTGTGTGTGTAAAGTCCTGGCCACACTTTGGTCTGGGCTTTGCTTCCACATCAGGACGTTTGACTTGCGCCTGAGGGCAGAAAACACCAGGCCCACTGCCCGCTGGGCTGGCACTGGGGGACGGGCTCTGCAGCCAGTTCTTTCGAGCAGGATGGGGAGCGTGAGAGACGTCCACCTCGCGCCCTTTGGCTGGTCCTTGCTCAGATGCTTCTTTGGGAGACCGTGTGGGGCCGAACACTCTCACATCAGGCGTCGGGACAGGGCCTGTGGCACGTCTCTTGGTCGTGTGGACAGGCAGGGGCCTGGTAGGATTCTGTGTGAGAAGAAATCAGCCATTAGACACTTAGGAGTCAGAATCTTCAATGCTCTGCCCATATCAGAGCAGAAAACTCAGGAAAAGAGCAAAGGAAAATGGCAGTCTAATAAAATCAGTAAGAGCAAAATATCACGTCAGGATTTCTTCTAAATCAGGATGGAAGTAGGGGCAGTCCAGTATACCGAGACAGTACGAGTGAGGTTACGTTTCTTAGAAAGAGACATGCCAATGCCACTGCACATTCCCAGAGCCTGCTCAGGGGCGGGGAGAGGGCACGAGGCCGGTGCGTTTGTTGGCCGTCAGACACGACGTGCAGCGTCTTCGTGCTGCCTGTGGTTAAGAGCAAGGGAGCAAAGTGCTTCCCAGCTCCATATGGAGAGTACAGACCGAAAATACACCTTCACCTGGCAATCGGAGTCTTAAAAAAGCGTTAACGATGCCCGGTTGGGGGTCTGGCAGGTGGTGTGGTGGTTAAGGTACGGGATTCCCACATGACTAACCACAGCTCAAGTCCTGTACCTGCCAGCTTCCTTCCTCATTTTCCCTTTCCCTCTCTGGGCAAATTAAAATATAATAATAAATAAAATAAATAAATAATTCTTAAAAAAATAAAAACCAGTATCTGATCAGATATAAGATCAGAGAAGGCAAGTGAAACAACACACATGCATAAATATGCCTCCACTGGGATTGCTGGCCCATTGCAAATAACAGCATCGAAAAGAATACTTAAGGGGGCCAGCAGGTGGTGTGGTGGTTAATGCACTGGACTCCCACGTGGTTGATCATGGTTCGAGTCCTGAACCTGGTGGCCTGCTCTCTCACTTTCTCTCTTTGACTCTCACTAGTGAGTGCATATGCACTTTAAAAAAATTAAATAACAGTAATAGTACAATTAAATAAATAATTATATTTTTAAAATATTCAAAGAAACTGGAATACGCAAAGTCCACAACCACAGCAAGGTTCTGCTGGGTCAGCCTGGGCCTCCACATAGCGCCACGCGGGAACTGAAGCCATCAGGCTGCCCAGCGTAAAGGCAGAGCCGGGACGCAGGTGTACGACTCACCCTCAGGTAGGCGCAAGGCTCCGCGGGCTCCTCCCAGTTGTTCTGCAGCTTCTCTCGGGGCTTCCTGGGCAAGGTCGGTAGTGAAGCTGCGCTCTGCCGCTCTTCTCGCCTGCGAAGCAAACCACATCAACTGTCCAGCCTTGCTTGACCCTCTTGTCCACACCAGTGACTGGGGACTGGGAAGACCCATGGAGGCCAGTCCTAGCCCTTGTTTTGGGGCAAGGGGGGCATGGAAGCCCTGGAAATTTGCAAAGGCTACTCCTCTGATACCAGAAGCAGCCTCCACTTCCAGGAAGCTGACTCTTCCTGCTGCAGTTTCAGCTTTCACGGGGATTCTGTCACCGCTCCTGGGCGTGACACTCTAAGATGCCCACTGCCGCCATATTGGTAGGTCCCAGCATTAGAACGAGCTCTCGGTGTGGACCCCGGGAGGGTAGTGAGTGCTCGTCTATTTCTCGGAGTCCCTGTTTCCCAGAGACGGCTGTACAGGACAGAAGAGGGGGAGACACGAGCTCTTCGGGTTCCAGGGCTCCAGGGTCTGCTCCGCAGAGTCCTCACCTCTGTCTTTGTCTCCTCTCTCGGTCCATGTCGTTGAAGGGCCCTGCAGTCTGGACTTGCAGGGGCTTCCCCGGTCTCAGGTTCTCCTTCTGCTTATTAGAGCCCAAGGGCTGCAGGGAAAGGGCCCTCCCCGAGCACTTGATGGGGCACCTCCTGCTCCTCGCCGTGTGCCCGAAGGCTCCGCAGTTCCTGCACTTCACCTGGGGTGGAAGAGGAGTGTGGTCAGCGAGTCGGAGGTTAACACGCAGTTTTGAACTGAGCTACCGTTTTGGGGAGGGGACGCGGACCTCTGGCCTATCTTTTGCCCGGAAGATTCAAGGTAGTATTGTTATGCCTGGAACCATTTTCCAGAGTGCTCTGAGGAGGAAGGACTTTTGTGTCCAAAGGTGAGGGTAGTGAGCCAGTTTGTGTATTGCACAAACACCCGGCTGGGCACGACACCCACAGGGGAGGGGGCTGGTTCTCAGCCAAACAGGGCCAGTTTGAGGGGAGTGAGAACAACCGAAGTACAGACACAGAGGTTTCCACGTTTAACCCGCTCTCTCGGGGCCAGACACATTAGTCCTTGAAAGATGCCGACCGACCCCTACCTTGGCGTCCTCCTCCTCTGGGTGGGGAGCTCTCTGTCTCACTGGCCCCTGCTGTCGCTCCTTCAGGGTCCTGATGTCAGCTGGCCTCGGAGGCTGATGATGTAGGTAATGACTTGCCACTGGCTTCATGTCCCTGTGCTTCTGCTCTGTCCCGTTCATTGACTGACTGTTGGATTTCCTAGTCATAAGAAAAGGGCCAAAGTATGTAGACACAAGGCCAAAGTCTTCATGACCCTGCATCCCCAAATAGGGACGGTGGGGCCACCAAACACTAAGTCACACCGCTGGCATTGTCCTTCTCATGGACTGTGCCGTCTTGTGATCCCCCACCCCGCACCACCTGCTCCCAGGAAGGACCCTCCTGAGAAATGAGGACCTGAGAAACTGCTGACAACCTTGCACATGGGTGTTCCGGGCCCAGGGTATTTTTTGTTTTCTTTTGTTTTTGAGAGGTTTTTGCTATAGGGCGCGTGTGCTCACCAGACAGAGAGAGACAGAGAGACAGAAAGCGAGAAATCACCCCCCAGGGGGGATGGCCATGCTGCAATCCCTTCTCCTCCATTCTCCTCTCGGGATCTTGGGCACACGCGCCCGGCATGAGTTTTAAGCCACCGGGTCCGGGAACCGCAGTCGACTATGTGGGAGTCCAGTGACACAGCCATTACGCTAACTGCTGGTCCCTGGACCCAGGGTTTTTATCAGCCATGCTCTAACAATGATCAAATACTCAGTCAAAAAAACCTACCGTTTTGTTTCCCACACATTTCTAGAACACTCACTATTTTCACAGGATAGTTTCTTATCAGAGGAACTGCTGGGTGCTCTAAGTTTTGCCAAGTTTTGCTATTAAACCTACCGAGCACCCGTGACGGTACACATGCCACCTTCATAACCGTGTGCCAGTTTTCACACAGACACGTGCAATGCCACACAAGTCAAGCAACAGGAGGACGTCTGTGAGCTAACACGTGTGAATTCACGTCAGACCACTCACGATAAAACCTGTGTTATGGCAACGGACATACGACCAAAGGTTCCAGGCATGTCGGGCAGAAATTGATGGCTCACAGCTGTCCCGGGGAATCCTGCCTGGCCTTACCCACATTGCTCCCTGACAATTCTCCTACCTCCCATCTTGGTTTCCCGGCCTTTGTGGAATCCCGCAGGGCCTGCCTGCCGAAGGCCGGAGTTTTTCGGTGGAGACGCAGCGGGCTGTTGGGTCCTCTCCAGGCCTCAGAGGAAATCGCAGCATAACTTCCACAGAGGCTACCACCACCCATTTCTCCGTCATCATGTCAATCTGAGAGAGAAGGGAGAGTCCATTACACTTTGAATTTGTAGGCAGGAAGAGGCCCTGGGATTTAAAAAAGGATAAACTTCCAAGACCAGCAGGTGGCCTGGTGGTTAAGGTACTGGACTACCACATGGCCGACTGTGGTTCAAGCCCTAGACCTGGCAGCTTGCTTTCGCACTTTCCCTTTCTCTCTCTCTCTCTGTCTCTCTCTGGTGAGTGCATATGCCCTATAGCAAGTTTAAAACAATAATAAATAAAATTAAATAAATAATTCTTAAAAAAATAAAAATAAATAAAAAGAATAAATTCCCAATTTCTTGATATTTTTAGTATAATACTAATTTTCCTAAAATTCCTTTACTGCACAGCCCACAGGGAGTTTTCTGATGACCTCCAAATGGCACCAGGGTGTGAAAACTGAGTGTTGGGGAAATGCTGGTTTCTCCAGGTGGGAACTCCAGAGCTACTGCAGTCGCACACACCCTTAGTCATCCCAAGGGCAGCACACCTGTCGTGATTGGTCAGCACATGTGGCCTGAGCTTGTTAAACACTGCCCCCAAGCCCTGGCTGCAGGAGAGACCCTGACGGAACACTGACCTTGGACTCGCCCCACCTTGCCCCAGCCAGGCCTCGCCCAGTCAGTATTTCTCCCCTTACATCTCTCTGAGGGATCCCACACCGCCTTAAGATCTGCTTCCCTTCTTCCATTGAGATCATATTGGGGTCCATCGCTGTTGGTCCTCCCTGTGGAGAGAAGAAAATGAGTCCTCTGAATTCTCCATACCCTGGAATCTCCCACCTATAGCCCTCTTCTGTCTCCTGTCCCACCAGCTCACCTGTCGCCCTCTTGTTCAAACTACATATCTTTCTCCTAGCCACATGGCAGCAATGAGAACGAGAAATAAGGTGATAACTTTTTTTTTTAAGTTTCTTTTGCTATAGGGTGCATGCGCTCGCCAGAAAGACAGAGAGAGACAGAGAGACAGAAAGCGAGGAATCAGCCCCCAGGGGGGATGGCCATGTCGCAATCCCTTCTCCTCCATTCTCCTCTTGGGATCTTGGGCATGCACGCACACACACCTGGCATGAGTTTAAGCCAGTGGGTCTGGGGCTCAAACCATGGTAGACTACATGGGAGTTCAGTGACATAGCCATTATGCTAACTGCTGGTCCCAAGGTGATGCATGTTTTAAAAACATGTTTGACATATATGGAATGTAGACTACTTATCTAGAGACACCCATAATGTTCCATTAAACATTTGGCAAAACTGATCAAGTAATTGGCCTCAAAGAAAATTCAATGTAGTAGAAAACTGGACTTTTCTTGTCATAGGGCATGTTCAAGTCTCTTACATGGAAGATGTAATATTTGCAGATAACCTGCCGCTGTGCCCCCGTGTGCGTTAAAACATCTGAGATGATGTAAATGCTATGTAAATAGTTCTTATGCTACGTTTTTCTTGTATTGCCAGAGGGCGCATGCACTGAGAAAGAGAGAGAGAACCCCTAATGTGGTAGCAACACTGCCTTCCTTTTTCTGCGTTTCTTCATCCTATCAGGATTGGGGCACACACGCACATGCCCCCAGCGTGTTTCAAGTGGCCAGGTGTGGACTCGCACTGTGGTGGGCAGTTAGTCGTGAGCAGGCAGCCCTAAGAGAAAAGCGAAAGGCTCCCCTACCCCGGGCGCTGGGAGGGCGAGGCAGTTTGCCATCTTCCTCCCTTGGGGCCTGAGGGAAGCACACAGGGGTGATTCCTAGATTCTTCTCTTATCAAAAAGACCTAAGCAAGCGTTTTTGGTCAATGCCCCAATTCCTATTAGGGCCATAGACTAATTGGGCGGTCTAATTGGGGCAACCTGGCTAGCATTGGGCGCCACCTGTGATTAGGTGATCAAGTTCCTCATTCTTTACCTGTGAGGAAGGTGCGCAGATGCAGCGAAGAACGTGGGGATTCAAATTTAAAGGAAGAACATAGGCAGCGTAAGGGGCTCCCACTAATGAATATTCATGACCTCTAGTAATAAAATAACGGTGACCCAGTACCAAGCGCGGCTGCCACCTGGCACTCTGTCCGCCCAGATTTTGGGTGCACTTGCTTTCTTTGCTTTCCTTTTTTTCTATTAATTTTTTTTTTCCTGTCTACTTCATTCATGGTTGCGGTTTCATTTTGCGCCTAGGAACGGATCTCTATTTTTAGTGATCTGGACCCAAAGAACCAAGCACTTCACAACGCAGCTCGACACTCTGCCATCCGTCAACAGCACTACAGTGGGCCACACGGGATCTGACTCCCCGTACAGAGCACCTCACAGTTGTGCTGTGGAGCTGGCCTGGCATTAACATTTTGTATATTTTAAACTCTTCTCTCCCCTCCCCCCCCATATCTTCTATCCAAATGGATGAATCTGAGGATATAGCACCGAAGATATGGAAGACATACTGCAATTAACATTTAACGTGTCTGAAATAGGTTTTGGTTTGCCTTTTTTTTTAAAACTTTTGCTGTAATGTGCATGCACTCGCCAAAGAGAGACAGAGAGAGAGAAAGCACCATGCCACAGTCCTTTCTCCTCCATTCTCACAGAATTTGGGGCATGCAGATATGCCTGATGTGTTTTCAAGCCTCCAGGTCCAGGACTCAAACCATACAATCGGCCATACGGGAGGAACCCAGCACCTTAACCTCCATGCCACCAGCTGGCCCAATTTCTGGAAAAAAAAATTTTTTTTTGAATCAAGCTCTGTCCTAGGAAATATTAAACAACGAATTTATTCTTAACACCTAAAACCACCCTCTGTAGATTTCGCTCACTCTATTTCTCCTGCTGGGATAAAACAAGGCCCAGAACAGTAATGGAAACAAACCTCTCGTCCTCCTGATGGTCCACAACAGCTAGGATGTGTAGACACTCTACTCGGGACAGTGGAGCCTCCAGATGGGCTGGACTGAGCACAGGTTCTCCTCCTGCTGGGCTTTATACTGCTGCAGAGCCCCAGGAGACTCACTCATGACGACCTGCTCATCGTGATGCAATCATGAGACCTGACTGCTCTCACTCGACTCTGATCTGATGGGATTTTTCTGTGGTGTCGTTTAGTTCCTTAGCGCGTTCATTTCATCCCGTGTGTGTGCATCTGGAACAACAGGCTATCACTTGGTGTTTGCCACACCCAGTGTTTTAGAAAGTTGAAATCCAACTACAGACTACAGGGGCTGGACGGTGGGGCGTGGTAAAACCCGATGCTCTCTGGGCGCACATCCGGAGTTCTCTGGGCCTGGATATGCCCATGACCTGGGGCTGGCTGAGGCTGGGGATAGATTGTGGCGTGGGGAACCTGTGGGTCTGCTGTCTTTCTCTGACCGACTTGCTCATGGAATAAATAAAGTTTAAAACGATCTTTGTAACTCTGTGCTATGACAGTTCGTGCAGTCTTCTGTGGGTTTATTTATACACATGTCAACAACTTGCTGATTTGTGTCGCACTTGCAGAGACTGAATGACTTAGTGTCCCCCTTAGGGGATCTTAATGTAATCAGGACTGTGGAGACCCTGCCCTCCGAGGTTAAGAGCAGCCTGGCTCAGTGTGTGTGTGGGACGGCCAAGGGAGTGTGGGGAGTGTGAGGGGCACTGGGTCACCCGGACTCTCCACTTAAAGCAGAAGCAGAGTGCAGCTCAAGCAGAGACAGAGCCGAGCTGTGGGACATCAGTTCCAAGGACAGCCCCGGGTACACCAGTTAAGAGCTTGCTTTTCGACCTTGTGGAGAACAGGAAGGCAAGCAGACACCTAGGCTGTGTAAAGGGTTAGTACTGGAAGGAAGGGGGAACCGTGGTGTGACTTGATTGAAGTTGTCTTTCCATCGCCCTCTTTCTCAGGAATGTGTGTGTGTGTGGTATACCACAACAGAGTAAGAAAGGATGTTGTCAACTTAATATATATCTTTTAAAAAACAAACAACAGAGGGAATATTGCAGGGATGCAACCTACGATATGCTAATATCATAAGTTTGATGATCATACACTATGCATGCTTTGGGAAACCCATTCTGGACCACACAAAGATGTACAAGGATTATATGTAGGTCAAAGGTTATGACTTAAAAGAAAAACGCACGTGACTGTGGAGGGAGACTAGCACATCTGAAACGTTTTCGTGGAGAAATGGCTGGACAAAACTGAAGTGGGACAAAGCACAAAAAAATGCGTAAATTGTTAAGAAAATTGGGTGAAGGAGGGATTTCAACCATCGAAGACCCTCTGTCCAGACTTCACCCTCTTGCTCCCCAGCTTAGCCAGGAGCCACGTAAAAACACCCTGCTTAGTCTCTCTGTCTCTTTCCATCTCTCTAAACTTAGGTCTCTGCTGCTTTTTCGTCTTTCTAATTCTTACCTTTCCCCACCCCCACAGGATAAGCCAATCCGCAGCCATCTATATTTGAGTTACGAGTGGCCACATTCAGGGATTTCGACCACTGAAGACCCTCTGCCCAGACTTCACCCCCTGCTCCCCAGTCTCGTCAGGAGCCAGGTTAGAACACCCCACTTATGCTCTGTCTCTTTCCATCTTTCTCTATTTTATTTTTATTATTTAAGAATTTTTGAACTTAGCTCTCTGCTGCTCTTCTGTCTAATTCTCACCTTTCTCCACCCCCATAGGACAAGTCAATCAGCAGACATCCATATGAGTTACAAGTGGCCACACTACTGCAGTGCACTTGCACGACACACAGTTTTTATTTTTGACAAAAATTCTTCTCTTTTTCTTATTGCTTGTCTTTTTTTTTTTTTTTTTTTTTTTGCCTTTCTCTCTCTCTGTTTTTTTCTATTCCTTTTCTTTTTACTTTCTCACTTTTCTGCTCAACCTTCATACACTGATTCTCTAGAAAGGTCTAGGTGCTCAGTAGCCAAATACGTGAATACTTTTAGGGTCAGATTAATCCTCAATTTTCATTCATTCAGTTGTGTAAAGGGAGAAAAATGGTACTGTTTACAGATTGCAGGTCACCTCCTTCTGCATTCCTCTGAGTGCTCAGATTTAACTCCATAAGATAGGAAAAAGCGTATAATCCATCAGATGACCAGAAGCTACCGCAGAAGCACAAGATACATGAGAAACAAAGAAAGTATCTCTCCTCTAATGGAAAATAATAACTCCTCCTCCTCCACAAAAATATACAAAGGAACTCATAGAAATGTCAGATAAAGAATTTAAAATATTTATAGTGACAAAGCTAACAGAGATGCAAGAGAAGAGAGATGACAAACTCTAGAAGATGCAGGAGAAAAGAGACACCGAGTTCCAGGAGGTGAGGAACTTCGTGCATGATTTAAAAGAGGAGGTACACACCATAAAAAAGAATCAAGCGGAATTCTTAGAGATGAAGGCTCTAATACAGGAAATCAAAACTTCCGTTGAAAATATCAAAAGCAGATTGGATTGTGCAGAAGACTGAATCTCAGATGTAGACAGTAGAACCTCTGACCTAGAAAAATTTACCAAAAAGACTGAGAAAATAACCAAAAAAAAACCAATGAGAATAATATACGAGTAATACTAGATACCATTAAACGCCCAAACATCAGGATCATCAATATCCCAGAAGGTGAAGAAACTAAGGGCATTGATAATCTATTCTATGAAATCCTGCAAGAAAACTGTCCAAACCTAGAGAGGCACTCAGATATCCAGATCCAAGAAATACAAAGGACCCTACATAGAATCAATCC